TTTCTTTCTCCATTAGACATTGAAGCATTGCCCATCCTTCAGGGTCTGGCAAGTGACCCTGGTCACTCCAAAGCTCATCCAAGGTCCCTCTGTCCTCAACTCCTGTCATGCTTATCACGTGCACAATACAAGTCACTTTGGCCATAGGCCAACTTGGGGATGGATGTGACTCTACTACCTACTAACTGGGCGGCCCGGGTAGGTTCTGTAACTTGTCTGGGCCTTTAATATTTTCTCATCTCTGGATTAGGATTAAAATACCTACCTCACAGAGTTATTGGGAGAGTTAAATAAATGAGTTGACATATTTATTGTACTTAGCACTGTGCCTGATATCTAGTAGGCATTTAGTAAAAGTATATCTTTCAAGCGTGCTTCCTTTTAGTTCATTTTTTAAAAAATATATATATTTTATTGATTTTTTTTACAGAGAGGAAGGGAGAGGGAATAGAGAGTTAGAAACATCGATCAGCTGCCTCCTGCACACTCCCTACTGGGTATGTGCCCGCAACCAAGGTACATGCCCTTGACTGGAATCGAACCTGGGACCCTTGAGTCCGTAGGCCGATGCTCTATCCATTGAACCAAACCGGTTAGGGCTAGTTCATATTTCTTTAACTGTATGTTTCATGTCTTCCCAACAAGATTGAGAGCTTCTTGGGGCAAAGACTAGGAGTCATTTCAATTTGTGAATGCATAGCACAATTTTGGGCCAATAAAAAGTAGCCTGTATTCGTTGGTCCAGAAGTGCCCAACACATATGACGCTCTTTGAGATATAGAACACAAGCTCACAAAAGAGGATTTCAGGCAGAGGGCAGCATAAGCAGAGGCAGCTGTCTCCATTTCAAAGGGAACAAAGCAGCCCAAAGGGTGATGGTTACCAGTCCAATGAGCCACTGGTGGCTTCTGTTATATATCTCATTATAGGCTATTGGATTGCATCAAAACTATTAGGTAGATCACCTTTGAGTCCATACTCCCATTAATCCATTCATTCATCCACTGCTGATTGATTGCCTCTTAAATGCATCCCCCTGAAGATTCTGTTTCTACATAGCTTCTTTAGTAGAGGGAAAGCTATAGGGTGGTGATGGAAAGGGCCAGGGGTGTGCAGGGAAATGTGGAATGGAATGTTGAAGATGTGGATCTGGAGACCTCATGTATCAGAAGCAGGTGGGGTAGACACCAACTCTCAGCTCCCATCCCCCAGAAATTCTGATTAATTGCTCTGGGATGATATTGAAACAACAAACAAATGAACAAAAGAAACTCCCTAGGTGTTGGTTCTGATGCACAGCCAGGGATAAAAACCGCTGAAGAGGATGCTACACAAATGCTCCAGGAAACTTCCTTCCAGGGTGGTGGTACCTGGCAAGCCTCGAGGAGGGTCGGAGTGCTGGGCTGGAGCTAGGAGCAGAGCCCTGGGCAGGAGGAAGGGAGAGACACCGGGCAGAGGCTGATCAAACATGGGCTCTCTTTCACCTCTTACCTTCCTACTTCCTGAGAGGAGAGTAACAAGACTACACTCCCCAGGGACCAAGGATTCCAAGAGAGCCAGGAAGGCAGAGCTGTGTAGAGTTTAGGAAATAAATCATTACCAGAAAGAATCCCACTTTTGCCCTATTTAGAAATAGCGTGGAGTCACAATTTGATGATGACCTCACAGATGTCATCATTTTGTGAACAGGCTTTGAACTTGCAAAGTACACAGCCCATTTACTCCTCTTCCTACTGCAAGTCTGGGTAGGTCAAGGCTGATGAAGCGTTTCCAAAAGAGCAGTTGATCTTAAGCACTGGACGTTTCTAAGATTTGGGAGAACTGTTTCCTGACGTGTTTCAGGCCCATTTCACAATGCCAGCTCCTGCAGGAGGATGTCCTTAGAGACTGCTCCAAGGAACCCAGACCCTCATCCTCCCAATGCTGGCTGCCAGGAATCCCGACGACCTATTCCTGGCATATGATGTCAGGGTGCTCAACTCCCCTCTCCCCAACTCCAGGGACAGGAAAATAGAGTCAGAGGAGGCCAGGAAGTTGGTCATCACCATAGGGCTGGGCATGAGAACATGTTTCCCAGCTTTTTCTAAGACACAGCCAGCTCACATAGGTTGGTGAGTTTTAGTACAGAATGTTCAGGACTTATCATTTTAAAAGAGAAAGATATTGGGAGTGATATCAGATCATTTTCTCTCTCTTGCTGTTCATCTCTGTATCTCTTAGCGGTTATCTGTCCTTAACTCCAGGAATTTGGAGTAAACAAGAACCACTGCTCTAGGGGATTTACGACTAAGGGAGCACTACTGAAGACACATTGCTGTGAATGTGGGATAATGCTCTTCACTTTTAACTGGATAAATTTGGACTTTTGTCTCCATTAGCCAAGTTAAAGATCTTCTACTGCCTTTCTCACAGGCAAGAATAGCTTTGAGCTGGAGAGTTAGGTAAGACAAGTGTGTCTTCAGGTTTCCCCCCACATGCAGTAGCAACCTCAAAAGCTGAACTGATCTTCAGCTGGTATCACTGTTCTGATTGGTCAGGCCCATGATGTACTGGTTGTCACATATTTTGAAATGACCTCTCTCTCAAAGGGAGGGCATTCTCCTTTCAGGTGGTGAACCCCTCACCTGTGCTGTGTGACTGGTGACTGCACACAGCTGTCATCACTCTTCTGCACCCAGAGAACCCCCTCCCCGCAGTGGGGTCCTCCCTACTTCTCTATTTCTATTGACTTGTGATTTTTGTTGTCACCAAATACTTCCTTTGAATAAAGAATGTTGATTTAATCAAGAGCTGACCTAGGGAAGGCTGAGGGAGATGAGGACAGTAGACAGTAGTGGATGGTGGGCTATACAGAAGGACAAGATGTAACCACTTAGGGACATTATAATTCTTGCTCACTCGACGAAAGGCCAACGTTGGAGAATGGTGGAAAGATATGGAGTCAGCTTAGGTCCTTCCAATACCTGAGTCCCTCCATGGGTGTCACAAATTAAGGGAGGTTCATTAACCATTCAATTACTAAGTGTCATCCCCTGATTAACTGCCTCAGTATGGAACCAGCCAACACTATGTTGGGGCCTGAAAAAATTAAGTTGCCTCCTACATAACTCCATTCATCCTGGGAACAGTTGCTATCACCACACTGAACCAGCTGCCCAATAGCCACAAAAGCCCACACTCTTTCAACCAGGGAGAAAAAACCTCAGGTAGAGAACTGAGCAATGAGTTGCTATGATTTCCCATCAGCAGACGCATCTGATCTCAAATATCTGTTCCTGTAACTCAAATTGCAAAGCATTTTCCAAAAACCATCGGGTTGCAGAATTTAAAAAATGTATTTGATTGCCAGGTTTGCCAATTGGGTCAGTTTACCAAGGCCTTATACTTCCCTCTTTTCAACTGGGGAAAAGGAAAAGGAGGCAGCCGGCAGCTCGTGATTGAAACACAATTCTCTCCGGCATGTAAGTCTTGGCGGTCATTTCTGTGTTATCTTGGCCATGGTCGCCTGGCACTGTCTGCAGCGCCTGGGCCAAGGACTGCCCTTCCTGATGGTTGCCCTCTGGATTCCACCAGCAGTCAGAGTGAAAACCACAGCAGACCGCACCCCTGGAGCTCTTCATGGCTTTTAGTTGCATTTGAGTCTCAGAAAAGTCTGCGAGAGAATTAGAGGAGGTGCCATTATCTCCATATCACAGATGGGGGAACTGAGACTCAGATAACTGACTTATTCGAGGAAACACAGCTAGTTTATAGTAATCCTGGATCCTAATCCCTACCCATTTCTTAGTCCAGTGCTCTTTTCAGAACACATGGACATAGGAAAGTCAGTAAGGGAAGGAGTTTCCACAAGGCAGTTTCTCCTGGTCCCCAGACCCATACGATTTGGGATTCTTCCATCTGATAGTCTTCTTTTTAATTGCCATAGTAAGTAATCAGGTCACCGAAAAACTTTGTTTTCATCACCATCATTATAAAACAATAGCTATCAAAAATCAACACATAGGCGTAGCCCATGGACAATAGTTTGGGGAAGGCCAGGGGAGGGGGCAGAGCGAGGTGGAGGGGGCGGTCAGTGCTTTCAGCAATAAAGATAAATTAAAAAATGATAATAAAATAAAAGTATAAGAAAGAGAATAAATAATAAAATAAAAGCAATAGAAAATTTGCAAGAGGCAACAAAAATCAATACATAGGATGGGTCATATTATAATATTAATATTCTTCACTACATACTATAAGACTATAAAATACAACTTATAATTTTATGGTTTAAGTCTAGGATTTTCCGTACTTATGGGTCATGAAGTCAATTTAATAAAAAATTAAATTAAAAGAAAAAATAAGGATAGACGAGAATTGAAAATATCAGTGTTGCATGTAGCAAAGGTTAAGTATTAATCTCTTTTGTTCATATATTATGTGTACTGGATCCCAAGGTTAAAATTATTTCGTACGAAATAGTCTTTCCCTTTTTCTTACTTTCCCTCTCTTTCCTCTTTCTCTTTTCTTGTTCCTTATCTCTCTACTTCTCCATGTATAAGAAAACGTACCCCAAAGCCTGCCACCTCTGTCCTATTTACAGGTACCATCACCCATCCTCCCCAACTCTCATCCTGCCTCACATTTCCTCGCCCAAGGGTTTGGAGTAGAGGCTGTTCTCAAGACTGACTATTCTTGGGAGGAAAAGGGGTGTGGGAGATGCGGGAAGAGACTGGACAAAAATCGTGCACCTATGGATGAGGACAGTGGGTGGGGAGTGAGGGCAGAGGGTGGGGCGGGAACTGGGAGGAGGGAAGTTATGGGGGGGAAAAAGAGGAACAAATGTAATAATCTGAACAATAAAGATTTAATTTAAAAAAAAAGAGTAGATACTTAACGCACCTCCTTTCTCTGCTGAAAAGGTCCTTTTGTAGTGTGGCCTTCGAGATAGGGTTTGCAAGTTCTCTCCATGTTTTATAAATAACTTGCTCTATCTCTAAACCATCACATTTCCCTTTCAGGCAAAGCAACTCAAACTTGAAGAAATGAAACCTCCAGGGAGAACCACATTGTGCTTCGTGATCCTTGTGATTTATTCTTCCCAAGTCACAGCGACCTGGAATATAGAGTCTACCATTCATCCTTTGGTGAGTAAATCCATGTCTGCTATATTTTTCCTTGTCACATTTTTCTGATATCCTGGGAATATCACAGATGGGAGTGGCTTAAAAAAATTTTAGGGTCTGTGAGAAAATGTTGTAAATGGGGGTAGGAGAGGTAAACCTAAATGGACAGTAGTGTATCTACTCATGGGTGACAACTTGTCTTGCTCTGAAATCAGGGGAACATCCCCCAGTCTTCCCTTTTTAACGAAACTGCCACCTCTAGGCCTGAAGCTGTACTCTGTGAAACAGACAACAGTGACTGTAAGGCAGATTTTGAGGATTGAAAAGGATGGATGTTCTCAAAGGATTCATTGTAACTTGAGCATCAGACTACAGCACATTTCAAAAGGTGTTCATTGTGTGTGATAATCACGGCTTGAGATAGCTAAAGGGGCAGAGATATCTTCAAGCTTTTTGTTGACAAATTATCCAGGTAGTTTTGTCTTTGGAAAGTTAATGGGAGTTTTCCTTAACTAACGGGGTGATAAGTGCTGTCTTATTATTATTTTTTTGGACATTATTGGGTTATTCCTTCCTTAGCTTACTCCATATATCAGAGATAGAATATGTTATGGGTTATGAAGCTTGGGAGATTAATGGCGTTCTCCCTGTGTTTCAGTTTCTTCCTCTATAAAACAATGATAATAATGGCACTGATTTCCTATGACTGCTGTGAGAATTAAATTAGTTAATATTTATAAGCCGCCTTAGAATAGTGCCTGGCACATATTAATTACTGTAGCACTGTTTGCTATTATTATTTCTTCTACTGTAATGTTTTTTTCTGCTGATTTTTAAAGAAGATATTTTAGTGCTACTTTATGTAGTCTGTCGCCATTGTTATGGCTTCATTGGTTGATTTTAGCCTTAGAGATGTCTCTTTTTGCCGTGCTTGGCCCCTTTTAATTTTAATTCGTTGTCCAACCTGTCTTTGTATTGTGTTCGCCCGATCTTTGTCCTTTATTTTTTGTTTAGCCTTTAATATATCACTTTGCTTTAATAGTTCTTTTATAAACAACATGTGTTGAAGGCTTTTTTTTTCCCATTTAAATCAAACCTGAGTGAACCTGACTTTGATTGTGGTGTATAATTTATTCACATTAATGTCATATTTAAAATGTTTGGTTCTACTTTCAGGATTTTGTTTTATGACTTTACGCATGTCCTATTTTCTGTTTTCATGTCTTTCATCATTTCACCTAGGTTTTCTTTGTCTTTTTTTTAATGTCTCTGCTGACTTGGGTGATATACTTTGTGTGCAGAGTGTGACCCGGACAATTACGTGCAGCAGTGTGCGCATATATGGTACAGAGGGAGATGCTTACATTTCCTGGGGGGTCAGTGCAGAGCTCTAGTTACCCCAGGCACCGTGGGGAGAAAGCCATGCATGAGGGGATCACAGCAATGGGGTTAGCTTTACCTCTGCTCCAGGGTCCTAGTGCCCTCCCATTGTGCCAGGTTGGCCCTCATTGCAGAGGGCCTAGCAAAGCCTCTCTGTCCGCCTGGTGGCACAGGCTGTCAGGGGATAAGCCCCTGACCTCCAAGAGCTGCTAGTAGAATTTGAACTTGATCTACCTGGAAGGTCCCCTCTCTCCAAAAGCCTGCCCCCTTTTTCTTCCTAGATCTGTATTCAAGATATAATATCTTCATACAGCCCAAAGGCCAAAGACCCCCATAGGAGAGGTACACTTGAGCCCTTCTCATCAGCTTACACTGCTCTAAGCTGCCACCCAGTTTCCATGGCTGGCCATCTATCATGTTAAATGCATAGTGATGAGCTTTTAAAAGACAATTATCGCCTTTGAAATAAAATTCACCATTTTGACAGTTTTTAAGTGTGTAGTTCAGTACTGTTAAATATACTCACATGGTCATGTAACCAATCTGCAGAACTTTTTCATTTTGCAGAACTGAAAATCTATACCTTATAAATAGCAGCTCCCCACTCTCCCCTTCCCTCAGCACTTGGCAACCATTGTTATACTTCGTCTCTATAATTTTGACTATTCCAAGTACTTCCTATAAGTGGAATTGCACAGTATTTGTCTTTTGGTGACTGGCTTATTTCAACTAGCATAATGTCCTAAAAATGTGTCTATGTGATAATTTGCATCAGAATTTAGTTCCTTTCTTAAGACTGAATAATGATCCACTGATGTATATCTACCTTTTTTTTATTCCTGTATCCATCAATGGACACTTGGGTTGCTTTCACCTCTTGGCCATTGAGAATAAAGCTACTATAAACATGGGTGTGCAAATAGGGGGTGGTGGGCTTTTGAGGTGGATGATGTACTTTCTCAAACTTCAATGTGCACATGAATTCACCTGGGGACCTTCTTAAAATGCAGATTTCAACTCAGGAAGGCTGGGGTGGAGCCCCAGATGTTGTATTTCCGCCACTTACCCCTGTTCCAGTGAACACACTTTCAGCAGCAAGGCTGTCCACTCTCAACTGTGGCCTCAGCCCTGAGTCTGAAGCCCAGCTCTGACCCTCACTAGCTTTGGAAAGAGTCACATTTCTTTATCTCCCTTAACCTGTTTCCCCTACATGATATGAGAATAAATAGTATCTCCTCCTCAATTGGTTGGGAGGATTAAATGTTGCGCACATGTATGTCTTAGCACAGTGACAGACACAGAGCAAGTACTTAAGATTTAGTAGTTATTTTTACTATTCAAGTACAAATAAACCTGTGTTAATTAATATGCTTGTGCGAGGAGAGATTCCAACAGGATCCTTGTTGAGATAATTATTTAATACTAGTGCCTGGGTGCATGGATTAGTGTACATTGAAAGGAAATTAATTAGAAGATGGCTGGTGGAGTGGAACTTGGCGAGATGGGCCAGACACACATTGGAGCCAACCTCCCAAGGTCCATCCCCGGCCAGCCACACCTGGGGCAGTGCTGTGGCTCAGCTCAAAGGTTGTCTGCAGAGTGAGTGGGGTCCCTCCAGCAGGTGGGGTCCCTCAGCCTGGCCTGCGGGGATCAGGCCGAAACCGGCTCTCTGACATCCCCAAGGGGTCCCAGATTGTGAGAGGGAGGTTCTTGGGTGACGCACCCCAGAATAGGGTTCCCTCCTCTCTGGTTCTGGTGCATCACCCAAGAACCGCAGCTGCCAAGTCACCACAGCTCAGCAGCTCCTGCACTGAGCGTCTGCCCCCTGGTGGTCAGTGTGCATCATAGCTACCAGTCGGACAGTTGGACGGTCACTTGGCCTTTTATATATACAGAATGAGGCAAAGATCTTAAATCTGGGATTCCAGGTCAAGGCAAAGAGGAGTGAGGGACAGGGCCTTGACAAAGAGGGGTGAGATCTGGCAACAGCAGTGACCTTTGAGGGTCCCTTATCATCAGGTTCCATGGGAATTTTCTTTCTACACATAAAAGTCACCTCTTATTCCTGACTGACTGTCTACACCCTCTTCAGGCCACAGCCCCACCTCCATGGTTGTTTGTAAAGTCATGTGGAACAGGTGGGGCGTTTCCTGGAATCGCCGACCTCGGGTCTTCTGGCTGAAGCTTGGCCGTCAGGAAATCCCCTCTGGAGAAGCTGCCCATTGTCGCTCAGACACTCGCCTGGGTACTTCTAGGTGGGCAAGCTGAGGGAGGCCCGGCTGGAGGCTCTGTTATCTCGTCCAAAGTAAACATTCATCTCAGCAGTGGGAGCCCCTGGCAGGAGCCCCTGGCAGGATCTATGTTCCCTCATGAGTCCTCAGTGCCCAAAGTTTAAGAAAAATGGGAAGTTCTGGAGTCTCAGAGGTCCTAGAACTGGGGTGACATGAGGACTCAGGAGGACGAAGCTACCCCCACCCTCCATGAGCCCCAGGCCAGCTGGATACGCGGACACACACACCACAGCTAGAGACTTCACACGCACCTGGTGTGCCCCAGCCCAGTATCTTCCACAAGAAGCCTGGGCTTAGAGTGAGCACAGCTTTTCCAACCAGGAAGAGCAGCAGTGGTGAGACTCCAGCATTTGCCTCATGGAAGCCCAGGCCCCCAGACCTGGCAGCCAGTCCTCTGATCCTTCTCAAATCTGGGAGAGTTACCGCTACCGCGGGGAAGCTCCTGGGAGGTTTTATTGCCTTCAGTGTATTTTCCCTCCATTCCTCCCAAAGATTGCAGGGCTCACAATAAAATGTAGGTTATTCTCACAAAAAGCTGTGAATGCTCATTGGACAATAGAGAGGCAGTAGGTGACAGAGTTGTGGGAGCAGCAAACACTTTCCAAAGATGTTCCCTGAAAGTTCCCAGTAATCACCAGAGAGTCAGGAACTAGTTCAGAAGCAGTGATTCTCAAAGGTTGGCCTCACATGAGAGGATATGTGGTTAAAAAGGCAGTTTTCTTCACACGCACCCCCTCCCAGACCTGCTAAATCAGATTGCAGAGAGGAGAGGCAAGTTACCCTTAAGCTCACAAAGGTTTCAAATACTTTGCATGAGAGCATTGCAATGTATCTTCATTTTAGCGGACAACTGCCAGCACCAATCTTTACCCCACTGGGAAATGGAGCAAACAACATCTCCACCTGGGACAGCTGACCAAAGGTCACCGCCAGTGGCCACCTTCTCCCAGGCTGAGTCTCCCAACTGTAGCCCATGAAGTGTGGACCGAGAAAGCTTCTGATGGCCTCCACTCCCCACGCCCCACGGCCAGGCCCCAGGGAGGAGGGAGGCAGGAATGTAGCGGAAGACCCTTCCCCTCCGCCTGGGCACAGGGCCAATGCAGGCTCCAGGGGAAGCCGGCAGGAACCAGCCCTGGGTGTGGACACTGCTCCTTCTTGGGTTGGTTCCTCATATTCAGTGCAGCTGAAATAACCTCACCGCGAGTGAAGTAGCATCTGGGCTTCTAAAATTCCAATCGTCACCTGTCCCTGCTCTAGTCATTCTTCAAGAACATTTATGAACTGTCAGGTACAGTTTCTCCCAGTTCCCATGGATGTTAATACTCGTCATCGAAAAGATGGGAAATGGGAAGAGGCAGTAGAGAAAAAGTACAAGAGAAAGACAGAGTGGGTCCCTGAGACAAAACCGCAGTTTTCTGGAGAATCTCCTGATTAAATGATGCTTGTGTGGACAGCTGCAGATGTGGAGCCAGGCTAGCTAGGTTCAAATCCTGACTCTGCTATTTAAGAGCTGTGTGACCTTTACCAGGTTATTGGACCTCTCTGTGCCTGTTTTCTCATCAGTGAAATGTAGGAAATGGCAGTACCATAGGCTGTCGTGAGAATTAAATAAGTTAGCATACATCGAGTGCTTAATAGTGTCTGGCACGGGGTGTTGAACACATCTTAGGAATTATTACTTTTGTTACCGTTATGATGTGAGATAACTAGGAAATAATGGTAGACAATGCAGATAGCAGAATGAGCCGTGCCTCAGGTGAGGTTCATAGGTGTGTGGAGTTCATGGGAAAGAACACACCTCTGTGGGCAGGAGTTGTCTGGGGAGGCCTCAGAAAGGCAGGGCTCCTCTATTGACCCTTAAAGGGAGTTCGGATTGGGAAGAACATCCACAGGGAGATCCACCTGGAGGCAGGCGTGAGCTAAGAGACCTGTTTCAGATCATGGTGTGGTTACCAGCTGTGGAGCTGGCATTGATCCCAACAGGAAAGCCCATCAATGTCAGTTCCTAAACCAGAAGCCACATGATGACCGGAGATGAGCTTTACAGAGATGCGGCAGGAGGCCGTGTGCAGAAAGAGAGGTCCGTGGTCCATGGGAATGGTGCCCCAGAATAATGTGAAGCCCTGTCTCAGGATAGCATTTACTATGTCACCAAAACTAGTTTCCGTGCTGTAGATTTATTAAGCATTTGACAATCCCCTGACGCAGGCTATTTTTATCCCTATGTTATAGGTGAGTACTGAGGCACAGAGAGGTGAAGTAACTTGACCAAGGTCACACAGCCATTTTATGGCAGGGCTCAGATTTGAAGTCAATGTCTGCGGAGTCCTTGTTTTTAACTATCGTGCCTTGTGATATAATTAACATTTATTAAGAGCTTACTTACTATGTGCCACATTATAGTTCACTTAATTCTCATAACAATTCTATAAGGTCAGTGCCATTATTATTCTGTTTCACAGAAAAGAAAACTGAGGCTCAGGGAGGACAAATAATTCCTCAAAGTCACACATAAATTCCTCAAAGTCACATAGCTAGTCAGTGGCACAGCTTTGTAGCAAGGCAGGCTGACTCTGGAGCTGGCTCTCAGGGTCCCTGCCACAGAAAGCAACCATCGGGAGAAAAAGGAGCCGGGAAGGAGAGAATAACCTCTAAGCATGGACCATCTAAATGGCCCTAATGCTGCAGGAGTACTCCCGTGGGGACAGGCGGAGTGCCAAGAAGAGGCCGTGAGACTTGTCAAAAAGGCCAAAGGAATGAGTCAGGGTTCCAGTCATGGGCAAGTAGCACAAGCTGAGGACACCAGGATTTATACTTCTTGACAGGACTCACACTGCAGGAACTCTGAGAAACTCAGACACGGTGATGTCTTCCACTCCTGGGTCTAGAGACTGGTCTATAGAAAGTGAATTCCCGGGTCACAGTACAGAGCCGAGTCCATGTCATTTTCCCGACCACTGAGTTGCTGTTCGCCCCGCACTCACTCACTGGGCACAAGGAGCTAACCCCGACTCTGCAGCCCTAAACCCAGCTCTAACATGTGGGGCATGGGGGCAGAACGCCGCAGTGGAAAGACGTCTCTACCACTAACTGACAATTTTCTAAAATGTTCTTTCAGAATCTCCAGGAGCATGAACTAGCAGGGGAGGAGCCACTGAGGCAGAAACGAGCGGGTATGTAAACTCTTTCTTGTCAATCACTTCTAGTGAGTGCATTAAATGATATTGGCTCTAACTTTTCAAAACAGTGTGATCTACAATTCAGTCTCAATATCTAGAAGTAATTACAAAAAAACTCCATTCTCTACCGAATGACACGAAAGGGATCTTAGCAACATTCCGATGCCCCTTCCCCCTCCCACCGCCTGTGCCCGTCTCCTCAGCTGCCCTCCACCCCCAAAAGCCTGCTTCTCTACTCTCAATCCTGCAGCCTTTCCTTTTGCCTTTTTAAAAAACCTCTTCGATTCTCACTTATCACTTTATTTTCTGGATCCACTTAACCACTAGACTCAAGTCCTTCTCCTCTGTTTCCCACTCTAATTTTCCCACTAAATTTCAAAAGCTGGTCTGGAAAATAGAGGGCTCTGCCCCCTGCAGGGTTGAGGCAGTGAGAGCTGTAAACACCTCCATGTACAATGATCCTTGGGGTCCTGTCCCACCTGCAGGACCTGGGCGGGTGTCAGCGTACATCTGCAGGCTGGCTTTTCCTAGAACCAAATTCTCCTACTTTTCTCATAGGAACCTTTCAAAAACATCATCCTGATGCTTTCATTTCCCTGCATAAAATTCTTCATGGGCTCCCAATTGCCTTGAAGGTAAAATCCAATTACCTGCTTGAGTCCTACAGGATGGACCCTGCCTGCCTTTCCCACATGTTCTATTCCTGTTCCCTTTCACACAGCCAGTGCCCTGCCCACCATCCCCCTTTGCTTGTCCAAGGGACTCTGACTTAAGTCTCAATTCACAGGGGTTCCTGCCATGTAAGGTCTTCCATCAAATCCCAGACAGGGTGGGACTGCTTTCTGAGTTCCCATTGCCCTTGATACATTCCTGTAGCACAACAGTGTCCCAATGCTTTGTCATGCTGCTTCCTGTTTGTCATCCCTAGTAGACGTGAGCGCCCCTGAACTCTTCCTAGCCGTAGCCTGGCTTCTAGCCCAGTCTCTCAATAGGTGAGTGAACAAATGAAGCTAGAGTGCACGTCTCTGTATAGCTGCCCCTTTGTGAGTTCAGAGAATCTGTTCCTATTGTTGAGTCTGTTGGCCTGTGGCTACACCAACTGTGTAGAAGGTAGAACTTCTTACGTTAAGCATTGTGATGGGATCATTTTCCAGACGTGCTGTGACTTGCTCTGCTCAGTCTTGTGGTCTGAAAGACTGGCTGGGCTGCCGAACAGAGTAGGCTTGTCAGAGGTCAGGGTGGAGGTGTCAGAGCCCTCACAGCTCAGCAACCAGACCGCACTGCCATGAAACTAGAACCTGACCACATTTATCAAGCTTCCAAAATCCTCATTGGAAGGTCATACCACTGAGAATTTTCTTTTCCTTCCCTTATTTTTCTTTTCTTTTTCCTTTTCCTTTCTCTTCTCTTTCTGCTTCTGTTTTAGCCTTGTTTCCTATCCCTATGGGATCCCCACTACCCCTTTCTTCCTTCCTTGCTTGAAGTGGTCTGCAGCGCAGATGGCACTTTCTGTGCTTCAGAAGGAGTATCATTATGGCCCTAGCCCTGTAGGCTCAGTGGGTAGAGCATCGGGTCCCAGGTTCGATTCTGGTCAAGGGCATGTACCTTGGTTATAGGCTTGATCCCTGGCCCTGCTTCAGGTGTGTGCAGGAGGCAACCAATGGATGTCTCTCTCACATCAATGTTTCTCTCTCTGTCTCTCCCCCTCCCTTCCACTCTCTCTACAAGTCAATGGAAAAAATATCCTCAGGTGAGGATTAATGAAAAAAATTAAAATAAAAAATAATAAAATAAAAAGAGCATCATTATGTCTACCCCCACTTCCTGCCCCCTGTGACAGGCACAGGGCCACAGGTGCCCCCATGCAGCCCTTTGAAAGACTTTTTTTTTTTAAATCAAACTATTGGAGGGTGAGTTCTAACTCCAGGTTCCTGTCAGCTTCTTCTAGATCTTGGCTGCCCGCTTCCCCAGGGACAGTGGGGGACCCACAGCTTTAAAACTAACATCTTCCTGTACTTCCCTCGGCTGTTTGTGACCCATGGCAACAGCACGAGAGGTTAGCCCTTGGGGAGGAAACCGCTTCCACATCTAAGGGTTTGACATTCCACAGTTTTTCCAGACATGCTTTATTAAAAACTCTCATGATGATAAATCACCATGAAAACCTCGTTTCCATTTATTACATATGGTCCTCTGTGCTCTCACCCCTCCAGAGTCCTTTGGGATTTGTTAATCACTCAACTCGCCATTTGCAGGAGATGGATTGGCCTCTGTACTTTTACTAAATGATTGAAATAAGAAATGGCCATAGAGCCCTCGCTGGTTTGACTCAGTGGCTAGAACGTCAGCCCACAGACTGAAGGGTCTCATGTTCCATTCCTGGCCAAGGGCACGTACCTCATTTGCAGGCTCACATCGATGTTTCTGTCTGTCACTCCCCCTCCTTCCACTCTCTCTAAAAATAAATGGGAAAAGTATCCTTAAGTGAGGATTAACAGGAAGGAAGGAAGGATGGAAGGAAGGAAGGAAGGAAGGAAGGAAGGAAGGAAGGGAGGGAGGGAGGGAGGGAGGGAGGGAGGGAGGGAGGGAGGAAGGAAGGAAGGAAGGAAGGAAGGAAGGAAGGAAGGAAGGAAGGGCCGTGGAGAGGCCCAGGCACTATGCAACAGATACTTGAAACGTGAGTTGCAGTTAATAGCGTGACTATGGGAGGAAGCAATAGGAGGGTTACATGCTGCACAGGCCACACGGAGGTGTCTGTTCTGCTTGGTGTGTGAAGTTAGCGGGCTGAAAGCCTTGCGCTCTGGTTCTCAGCGTGGTATTCTCTTTCATGTATACGCTCAGCACCCTTTCTGGAGCCTTAACACCAGAAAGGCTCAAACAGTGGTTCCGAGAGAAAGAGAATTCTCAAAAGAAATTTTCTTTTGAGACACTGGACCAAGTCTTCAGAGCTTGGGATAGAATTGTCTTTAAAGATTGGATCAATACTTATATTTATTCTGAGAACACTGTGGACTTTTTCCTAACTCATTTTGCTCAGTTATATAACTTCTTGAGCCCTTGATATATATTTATATCACACACACACACATATATGTCACATCTAACACACAAAACCACATATATACATAGAAATAGATATGTACACCAAATAATGTATTACATATATAGTACTATATGTATCACATTTATCACACACACGTTATATATATATATATATATATATATATATATATGCCTAATATGCTAAGTGTCCAACCATTCGACCATTCAACCAGTTGCTATGATGCGCACTGACCACCAGGGGACAGACTCTCTGACCAATAAGCTAGCTTGCTGCTGGGGTCGGCCGATTGGGACTGTGGGAGATGGGCCAGACACACCCTGGAGCCGACCTCCTGTGGTCCTTCCCTGGCCTCTAAAATATTTCTTCTAATTAATTTCCTTTCAATGTGCAAGAATTCATGCACTGGGCCTCTATTATATTATAGCATTGTGGAGGGGAATAAACAATATTGTGTACATATTATTTTTAAAAATGTTAATTGGGTTATCTGGGGGTTTATTTGTTTTTGTTTGTTTTAATACTTTATTTGCTAAAAACAAAGTCAACTAATTTACTTATAAAAACAATACTGGCCGAAACCGGTTTGGCTCAGTGGATAGAGTGTCAGCCTGCGGACTGAAAGGTCCCAGGTTCGATTCTGGTCAAGGGCATGTACCTGGGTTGCGGGCGCATCCCCAGTAGGAGATGTGCAGGAGGTGGCTGATCGATGTTTCTCTCTCATCGATGTTTCTAACTCTCTATCTCTCTCCCTTCCTCTCTGTAAAAAATCAATAAAATATATTTAAAAAAAAAACAAAAAAAAACCAATACTGTATTAGAAAGAGCTTGAAATAGCCCTGGTTCAGAGAAGTTCCCATGTAACCACTAGAGTCAGGAAGAATGCCATCACACAGGAGTCAGCATTTTAGGAAAACTGTTGTAAGACTCTGCTGGGAAGAGAAGCCTGCACAGAAGCCCCAGAGGCCTGAGCAGGAATGAGTGCACATCTGCCTGGAAATAAGAAGGGGTCGAAGAACTATGTCCTGACGACACCAGGAAGTAGATTCTATCTAGACCGAGAGGCCGGCAGAGAGGAGGGACTGACGGAAGCCATCTGAAGGGAGAGCCAGCCAGAGGGTTTGGCTATGTGAACTGGATGAGGAGGTTGCCCGGGAGACCAGCGAGGAGGCTCAGCAGTGCGGACTGTCATTGGTTCCAGCCCCTGGGGTGAGACAGGAAAGGAGGAAGGGAGCCCTGGTGAATGGCATTTTGAGAAGTGGACGAATGGGACCCGGAGACAGATCTGATGTCGGGGTGAAGGGGAGGGATGGTCCAGGTGAACTCCCAGGAGCACAAACCTGGGTGCCTGGGGGATGTGGAGGCCACAGGTAGAAACGGGAGTGGGAACAAACATCTTATTTTGGAGGTTTGTCAACAAACCTGAAATTTAGTCTTAAGGGTAATCTTCATAGGGGACTGAAAGTCGAAGCTACTGGTAAGAAGTCACACAAATATGTCCCCTATGTCCATTTAGGAAATTGTCCACACCAGGTTTCTTCCAAATGTGACTGGGAATGTACCCTCAGCCCTGGACTGAAGAGTCCTCATTGGTTTTAATTCAGCTTCAAAAGGAAAGACCAGTAGGAGACAACATTTCAAAAAAAGAGATCCAGGATGTCCTAACCCTGTGCGGGAGCTTACCTTTACACCTATTCAGTGGGAGCGAGGCTCCTACCTCCCTGGGCTGCTGGCCGCCTGTGCCTTTCTACAGCCCTGGCAGCCTGGGTGTGCGCGTCCTTCTGATCTGGGTCCAGGAAATGCTATACATTTTCCAGGTTGAGAAACAGATTTGAGGGTTTTCATGGCTTTAATCTTTCCTGTGATAATAGGTGACAGGCAGCGCTCCGAGCAGGCCCTGGTGGTGGCAGAGCAAGATGAAAAGCCGGGTGCT